GCCCTTATAAACTTTTGATGAAAAGTCAATGAAAATGTTTCCCCATATTGTCAAGGAAATGCAAACCAATAACTTACTCAATTTTTTAAATGACAGAATAAGTAGAGTACTTACTTGCTCTATGGGCTTCCCAACAACCCCATGAGTGGACATTGTTATCATCCTTGTTTTTACAAATAGGGAAACAGAGAACAGAAGTTTAGGAATGTGTGCAAGGTCACACTGAGCTTGGATTGGAAACCATGAATCCAAGCTCCAATATCTGTGCTCTTAACTGTCATGTCAAATGGCCTCTCCATGCTCCTTTCATCTTAAACTGGAGATTAATTATTTSGAGGTAAATATGGAATTTACAACATCTATCTCCTTGAAATCATGCAAAATATACAAAGTGATCTGGTGACCTAGATCAAGAAACCAGTGCATGCGAAGCTCCTGTTTTSAGAGAGTGATGCACAATTCAGGGCAGTGTGCTTTAGAGCATGTGGCTATGTGCCAGCAAGATTTCACAAATCTTGAAGAGTCTAAAATGGGCAGATGGACAGATAAGGTAGATTGATTTGCATAAGGTTTCTAGGTTCAGTAAAATCCTCCCACCTTTATCACACCTACTGATTCTGCCTCAGCTCTTCTCTCAGGGGATATCCCCTGAGGAGGATACCACCTTTGACAGTGAATATATGACAAGAGACAATTAAACAAATTTTTATTATTCCTGMTGACTCCTTCTACAGTATACACAAATAAATAGCATCTAACACAGACCAAAATTATCAGTTTCTAACACTCAGCCCCTACCAGGAATTTATATGAGGCAGGAGAGAGAGAAGAAAAAAGAAAGAGGAGAAGGAGGAGGAAGGAGARTTGTTCTACTTTGGATGAACAATGCCTAAATTAAAAGAGATTTTTTTAAGCATCTCTTTATTTGATACCCTGGAATTTTTGTGCCTTGGGAGAAAAAATGTAATAATAAGATAGGAATTAGAAACAAAAAGTTGGTGGGCTGGGACTAGKGCTCAAATATAGAGGCTTTGACTACTATCAAACTTTTTCAAAGCATATGAGTAAATCCTTGTCATTCATGCTCAAGGGCCTAGGTTCAGWCCYCAGTACTGAAAAAAAAAAGTTTGAGTAAAAAAAGGGAATCAGAAAAGGGGGTCTAATTTGATGGGCTGAACTCAGAGTTCCTCTCAAATACATGGTATGCAAAAAATATGCATGTAAGTTGAAAACCTGGAAAAATAATCTTCATAAAACAACCCATGCCTTCCTAACACAATTTAGAAAGTCTTCGTGCCTCTCCAAGAATATGGGTCACAGATGTCATGTGCAGATCACTGAGTGAAACAACCATGCGAAGGTCTAGATGGCAGATACTTCCACCCTGTCCACTTCCTGGACTTTTTCTTGGGTCAAATGTGCTGAAGGGCTGAGGCRCTGTTAGGTTAAAGGAGTGGTTGTATTCCATGCTGAAATCTGAGTAATGATGCTTCCAAACTTTACATACATGCTCTAATTATTGAAATTAATGAGGTATTCACAGCATAATCATGTGAATAAATCATWTGCTAAATTACTTGCCATGGATCCCTCCCTTTTCACCTTCCTCTGTTTCAAAATGCCCTTCCTTCCAATTATTTTTTTATTTATCTTTGCAAATCAGAATTTCTATTTACATGATGTGCCTAATGATATTTTAACTGTTTTATTGAGATAYAATTTATACAYCACATAGTTCTCATGTTTAATGTATATAAACCAATGGTTTTTAGTATATCTCCAATTGTATTTGGTAAGTCCTTTTATCTACAGACTTAAATCTTTCTTCCTCTTTTACTTCATCTCTTCTTTTTTTCTCAATTTTGAACCTTATTACTTGCATGTTAGTACTCCTGGAATTATCTTCCATCTATCTTATATTTTCTGGATAATTTTCTCCTTGTACTTGTGTCTAATTGGGCTCTTTTCCCCACCTGCTCTTCCAGATTATGTATTAATATTCTCAACAGTGACCAGCCTCTTTCAACTTATCTATTAAATTGTAAACTTAAAAATTCATGATTTACATTTTTTAAATGATATAATGAGATTCCCTTGTCTAATATTATTTTCATATTTTTCATATAATGCTCTCCAAAATTCCCTGCAAGGTGCTTTCTTTGGCTTCCATTCTGGTCTCTGGATTCCTCAAAGTGAGKTGATGATAAGGATGATCTCCTGAGCATGGCTCAGCATGACCTCATCTGTAACATTCAATTGTTCGGTTTGCCAACCCTTGAGAATCCAGTGAGTAGTGGAAGACAGCAGTTTCCACTGATGCAAGTTGAGGTGAGCCCACCAACACACTGCTATGACTCTCCACCCCAAGTGGGAGCCTCTCACCACCTTGGGAATTCAGAGCAAACTTTGCCTTCAAAGTTGCTCCCCTCTGTCCTGCAAGACCTGGATCATCAGGCAGTTTCTCTCCTAGACCCATAAAAGTGATATGCACCAACCTTCTGAAAGGAATTCGTGAGAATTTAAGTTTCCCCTCAGGTGTCTCTGCCAAGCACCTCTTGAAAAGTTAGACCTTAATAGGCTACAAAGTGTTTCTCTTGGGAAAACAAGAAGCTCATTCTCTCTGCTTCTCAAGGTAGCAGTCTGAGAGAGGTATCAACGAGGACCTTCACTCTGACAAGAGATCCAGGTCTAGAGCACCTGGAACTATAACTTGGGGTGCACCTGGGCTTAGGAACTATAACTTTGGGTGTACAATCCTTGCCTCCACCCCCATGCATATAATTGCCCCTCCTCCATATCACTGGGTTCTCTGTGAACCACAACCCAATCWCTTTTAAGTACCAACTCTGGTCCCTGCCCTCCCTTCTCATCATTCCCAATTCAATTCTCCTGCCAAATTGGGTGAGTCTCATAGACATGGGGGTCCTGCTTGGCACGGGAAGGATTAGAAAATGAGGATACTTTGGTATGAATGAGGTATCTGGATTGTACTGTGGAGATTTTGAATGCTAAATGGATTCTAGCATGGAAGTTTTCTCAGGTAATTGAGAAATGCAACACGCCCACTTGCGCACATTCAAATTCTGTCAGACATTGGATGTATTTATTTCTTAGTTAAATTACCAATATATTATCCTTTTCTCCATTTCTGGTAAAGATAAAAGAGGGCAGTTAGCGTCTTTCTTAAGGATGTCAGGGAATCAAATGAAGCTGGGAAGGGACTTGTAGGGAGGAATAAGAGGAAACTCGGGTCTCGGGTCCTCAGGTCTGCTTCCTCCCTGAAGGATGTGGCACTCCAGCTCAGGGGCCACTCGGGAAATTCTATCTTCCACTCATCTCCATGGCCACTGGGGATACTGGTCTCCTCCGGAACCAGTTAGGGCTCCAGCTAGGCCTGTGGGAGACTGCATGATTCTCTGGAGGGCTTGGGCCACGGTAGGTACCATGGGGGTAGTAGACAGCTGTGTCTAAGATGTTTCTCAGGGACAGGTAGTTTCTCTAGAAAAAGAAGAGACAGTTGTTTCAGAATCATACCCAAGTCTTCACCATGGACTCCTTTAGAATCATCTCCCTCTTTCACCCATCTCTCTCAGCTAACACTCCTCCCTCCAGTATGTAGTCCTTTCCCATCACCCTTTTCTCATAGGTCAATGGTTTTCTATGCACATTGATTGATTGGCTCTTCTGGTTCCAACTTGTCATTTTTATTTGTAACTCTCTTGATCTCCATTTCCTCCTTACTGGCCCCTGACCAGAAATTTCTGATGTTTATTCTGTTTCCTTATATTCCTGCTGCTCCTCCCCCCAGGTATTAGGCACTCACCATACAAAAGAAGATCCCAGCAAAGAGCCCCACAGCCACTACAATTGAGACGAGGGTGATGAGGAAGATTTCCCAAGGCTCCAGGGACCCACTGGGCTTCACCTCATTCACTGGAGTACTAATACTTGTACTAATTCTGTAGAAAGTTGTGTGTATTCCAGATGAAGCAGGTGTGGTAGAGACTTTGGAGGTTGCATTTGATCCAGGGTTGGAGGTTGTGCTCATCCTACTGGAGGTCACACTGAATCCAGTGTTGATAGCTGTGCTGACCTTATGAGATGTTGCACTGGACACGGTATTGGGGGTTATGCTGCCCTCACTGGAAGTCAATGTGGATGTGGTGTTGGGGATTGCATTGGTCTTAACAGAGGTTGTAATGGATGCAGTGTTAGAGGTTGTGCTGGACCCACTGGAGGTCACTCTAGATCCAGTGTTGATAGCTGTGCTGACCTCATCAGAGGTTGCACTAGAAACAGTGTTGGAAGTTCTGCTGCCCTCACTAGAAGATGATGTGGAAGCAGTGTTTGGGGTTGCATTGGTCTCAACAGAGGTTGTAATGGATATGCTGTTAGAGGTTGTGCTKGCCCCGCTGGAGGTAAAATTGAATGCAGGGTTGAAGGTTGTGCTGGTCCTATCAGAGTTCAATGTGGTTCTAGGGCTGGAGATTGTATTGGCCCTACCAGAGTTTGCAGTGGAAGTAGTGTTGGAAGTTGTGTTGGCCCCATTGGAGATCACACTGGATCCAGTGTTGGCAACTGTGCTGTTTTCACGGGAGCTCACTCTGGATACACTATAGGAGATTATACTGGTTCCTCCAGAAGTTGTACTGGATCTAGCATTGGATGTTACAGTGGTGGTTTGGTTGAATGTTGAGCTGGTTGCCATGYGGGTAGATATGTCAGAGGCAGTTGAGGTTTCACTGGAACCTGTGTGGGCAGATGTGCCTGTAACACTTGTGGTTATTACTAAAGATAAGTAATAACAAATATATGTAAAGCATATACACTTCCTGCTCAATGGTTAGTTAAGTTCATTACATGGATAATTGTATTTAATGCTCACCACAGCCCTTCAATGTAGATATTATTATTATCATCAGCTAAGGTAAAGAAACTCAGGATTAGAAATGGTGGTGGTTGTCCAAATTTATATAGCTAGGATTCATGAAACAGGAAGTTGAATCCAGGCTATTGAATTTGTACTTAGTTAAGTCACTCTCTCTCCTTCTCATCCCCAAGGTAAGAGTTACATAACATAGGCTTACTCATAGATAAACTTATTCCATATTCTGCTATAGAAGATTCACTTCAGATAAGAAGTATCATAAAGGAAGTATACAGCTAGGGCATGTAAAGCTCAGTGACAAAGCTTTTGCCCAGCAGTTGTGAGGCCATAGATTTGGTCTCCAGCTCTGCAAAAAGAAAAATAGGTAATCCAGGATTAGGTGATACTAATATGTATAGATTTATTCATTCTTTTTTTTTCCAGTACAGGGRATTGAGCCAAGGGCCTCATGCATGCTAGAAAAGCCCTTTACCACTTAACTATATACTTAATCCCTTTTAAAATTTTATTTTGAGACGAGCTCCCACTAAATTGCACAGGTTGGCCCCTAATTTGTGATCCTCTTGCCTTCAACTTCCGAGTCTCTAGTTACAGGAGTGCACCACCACACCCAGTTTGATTCACTCTAAAAGTAGTATTACTTCCTTCTTAGAAAATATTTCTCTGAATATTTCTCAGAAAACACCCACATCAGATCACCTGAGAGAGCTTGCCAAAAATAAAGACTCCCAGCCTCCAGACTAAATGAATCAGTTTGACATGGGGCCCAGGTTTCTGCATCTTCAGAAGAGCCAGGTGATTCTATATACATCAATGTTCCAGAGACTCCTGATCACTATGCAAAGGCCAGAGAATAAGTTATGTGCAACATAAATGCATAAGATCTCCCAAAAAGAAGGGCTGTCAACCAGAGTCTACAGGCATAGGGAAGGTCTCCAACTTCTTGCAGGATCACCTAGAGTTTAGGCTGTGCCTACCTTTTGCTCCTCWCTATCCTGAAGATAAGGATACATAGCTTCCAAAATTTATTTTCCCATCTCATTTGTGGCTCATTTTACTACTAACTTGATCATGAGTTCCCAGCACCTCACCCTGCCTGTCAATTTTTTTAAAAAAAAATCTTTATTTAAACGAACAAAGGATTAGAGTTTTTAGCTCTACTTGGGTAGGTCCTAAAAAAATTCATTGTAGTACAAATGAGTGTTAAGGTCCAAATAATAAGTAAACTAAATAAGAAAATGGAATGACCAAGAGTATAGGTGACACATGAAAGAGGGAGAGGATTTAATCTAAAAGTTTTGGAAAGCAAAATAAATGAATCAAAATTATTGGGAGCCTAAATTTGGTTCACTATGATGAATATTCTAAGTTATGTTTCCTATCTGTGCAATAGGAGGTAGCCCATGAAGTGTTTGATAGAGTATCAGAGCTGCAGAAATGTGGTTCTTACATCCTATTCTCCTTGGTCTGAATCTAATTTTGGCTGATGTGAAATCAAGGTTAGCGACAGGAGAGAAATTGAGTTTGAAGAATACTGAACAACAATATTTAAAAATACCCAACTCTTTCTGTTCTTACTTAAATCTCCAACCATATCACACAGGTTATTAATTTCACAGATGCATAAACAGAGGCACAGAGAAACAACTCACCCAAAGTACACAATTAATATAGGGAGCCAGGATTTAGGTGTAGGCAAGGTGAGAACAAAGCCCAAAGTTTTCACCACTGTCTCCGGTATGATACTCTGCTGATGTGTGAGAGTAAAACAATGATGATTCTTCTATGAATAACTAGAGCTAGTCTCAGTAGTAATTACTCTCACAACTCCTCAAAGGTTCTCATCCAATCCACCTTTAAATAAAATCACTCACCATCTTCCAAAAGTAGGAGATGCAGTAGCAACCAACAGGGGAGAATGTTTCTTTTCTGCATCTTCATCTGCTCCTGTGGCTGGAAAGCAAGAATCCTGGAACCCAGAAGTAACCAGGACTTAGTGGACAAAGAACAGAAGATTCTGGGGAAAGAAGAGTTCAAGGTAAAGAGATAAAGCCTGGAGTTTCCAAGAGCTTGGATCTCCTAGGTATGTATTCTTGGAAAGAACCTTGAGCTTGGGGATGGATGGATGGATGCCTGGGTTCCTTAAGCTTCTTCTATGTGATGTTGTTGCCTGYTTCTCTATTGTGGAAGTGCTGTAGGGGCCTTTATAGCTTTATTTGGGCAGGGTAAGGGCTGGGCAGTTGTCCTGACAGTCTGCCAATTGTGAGCATGTGAAAAGCAATGCTGAGCCTGGGAAGGAATAGACCACAAAAAAAAAAAAAAAAAGGTAAGAGAATGACATGATCACACTAGGCAGGTCACTAAGCTGGGTGGCAGCAGAAAGCAGAAAGAAGTAAGAAGTTCAAGGTTGTTAGAGTGAAAAGGATCCACCCTCTGTGCCAGGGATGGAGTTAGAAGTTTGTTTTAGCTCAGGACTTTGTTTCCTAGTCAAAAAGTCCTGTGTGGGCTGACTTTAGCATGGAAAAAGCCAGATGAACCCAGCTGAGGGGCAGGACTCCACATCTGTAAAGCATATGAAACTCAAAAGAGAGTAGCAACTAAAAATCTGGGCTCCTGAGTTACAGTTGGAGACAGATGAAATGTTGCTGGATACAAAATAGGCACTCAACAATGCACACTGAATCAACAGAGGAAGAGAGATCCAGGGTTAATGAAGTCATCCTTGGGGTCTTTGTCCATTTTGTGTTGCTATAATACCTGAGGCTGGATACTTTAACTGGAAAGAGGTTGATTTAGCTCACAATTTTGGAGACTTCAAAGTGCAAGATTGGACAATCCTATTTGCTCAGTTCTGGTGAGGGCCTTCTGGCTACCTCCCAACGCCGTAGATGACATCATGGTAGAAGCGTACATGAGAGGGAAAGATCACATGTTAAAATATGAAGAGATTCAGAAGAGATGCCAGGTTCTCCTATAACAACATGCTTTACCCAGACTGAGAATGCATTCCTGAGAGCAAAGCATTAATCTCTCTTAAAGACCTAATCAACTCCCTCTAGGCCCCACTTCTTAAAGGTTCTACAGCCTCTCAATATTGCCACATTGAGTCCAAGCCTCAGCATGTGAAACTTTGGTACAAACCACATAAGAACCATTGCAGTGGGCTGGGGTTGTGGATCAGCAATAGAACGCTCACCTAGCATGTGCAAGACCCTGGGTTCGATTCTCAGCACCACATAAAAATAAATAAACAAAATAAAGGTATTGTGTACAACAAAAAAAATAAATATTTAAACAAACAAAAAAAAAACATAACAGATGGTATGGGGCTATATGGCTATGGTAGTGCACTTGCTGGCATGTGTGAGGCACTGAGTTCAACTCTCAGCACCACATATAAACAAATAAATTAAATAAAGGTCTATCAACAACTAATTTTTTTTWAAAAAAAAAAAGAGCCACAGTAGAGCTGGTCATGGTGTAACATGCCTGTAATCCCAGCAGCTCAAGAGGTAAGACAGGAGAATCAGGAGTTCAAAGCCAACCTCAGCAACTTAGTGAGGTGCTAAGCGACTCAGTGAGACCCTGTCTCTACTTAAAATAGGGCTGGGGATGTGGCTCATGTTGAATGCCCCTGAGTTCAATCCCTAGTACCTCCCCCACAAAAAAAGTCAACAGCACTACATGGAAGAGACATCTTCCTCCCACTCCCTCTAGAATTATTTGGAGGAAGAGCTCCTGGATTTAAGTCCAGATTCTGCCTTTTAGAAGCTACACTAAAAATTGTAACATGCATGCAGATAAGAGTCTAAATGTAATTCATATCTTTATTGTTCTTAAAAACAGTACAAGACCTTAGAACACTTCAATTCTTATATTCATCTCCCCAAAATACCCTATTGCCATCAAGTATTTTCATTCTACCTTGTTTTTTTAACTTCATGAGAGATTATTGTTGGTTTACAGCCAAACATAGTTGCACAGCTGCATGAAGCTGCAAGGGAGCCTGGGAAATAAAATCTTTGTTGGGACAGTCATGTTTTCAATTGAAACTTAAGCATTCTATTGCTAAAGACGGAGAATGGATGTGGGTGAGCAACCATAAAGCTATGATAGGCATTTAAAACTACATACTTTATATTCTGTATTCAATTGACCCAAAGTCCTTGTGGATCTGACTTTGCTTTGTTTTTGTTGCTTTTTTTTTGTTTGTTTCCTTGTTGGTTTTCACTCCTAGTAWCTGTTTTTAATTTGTGATTTGAGATTTATGAGTATAAATCTTCTTGGGATATTATCTGCAAAAGTTTTTTAAAGGCTGTGATGAAGCCATGATTCTCCAAAGAGAATTTGTAAGGTTTTCCCAACATACAGAAGTATTATCATGTTTAAAGGATTCTTTAAGTTGGATTGTAGGAAGGAAATCTTTTGTATTACCTATATTGCATGATTCAATCTACAAACCATGGAAATATTGTCATGGTTACTCCAGAGATATTTCTCCCATCCTACCCTGCATCAAGCTGAGAGACAAGTGATTTTGCTTATGTTTCCATAGAGGAGGGGTGAGTTTATTTTTAGTTTATATTCTCAGTGAAGCTTCCAAATTTAAATGAGATCTACTACTAGATCCTCCACCTGGACTGGTCCTACTGAAACTCTGATTACCGAAGCTTCAGTTTCCTGGATTTGGCAAAACTGACTTCAGTACTCACCTTTCTTCCTTGACTTCCTCCTTTAACTTAGATTTAAATTTTAACATTCTTTATTTTGCTGTCAACTCACTAATTCCTTWAAGAAGATATTTTAGTCCATCATTTTTA